GGTGAGGCTGACCAGTCTATAGTTACCCGGGGTCCTCCTTCTTTCCCTTCTTGAAGACTGGAGTGACATTTGCTTTCCTCTAGTCTTCAGGCACCTCTCCTGTTCCCCACAACTTACCAAAGATGATGGAGAATGGTCTAGCAATGACTTCAGCCAGCTCTCTCAGCACCCACAGGTGCACTCCACCAGGACCCATGGATAGCCCAGTCCTCGTCAACCAAGGCAAACTCCTCCTTTATTCTGACTTCCTCTGGTGCCTCAGGTGTCCGGGGCTCCTGAGGACAGTCTCCAGTAGTGTAGACAAAGAGGTGATTCAGTAACTCCACCTTCTCTGTCTCCTTTGTCACCAGGGCACCCACCTCATTCATCAGTGGGTCTACACTGCCTCTAGAATTAGCTTTGTCTGCAATGTATTTGAAGAAGCCCTTTTTGTTGTCCTTGACCACTCTTGCAAGGTTTAATTCCAAGGAGGCCTTAGCTTTCCTAGTTGCCTCCCTACATCTTCTAACAGTCTTATATTCCTCCCAAGTGACCAGCCTCTCCTTCCATGATCTGCAGATCTTCTTCTTCCACTTGAGTTTGCCCAGCAGTTCCCTGTTTAACCATGCAGGCCTCCTGGCTCCTTTTCTTGATTTCCTACACATTGGGATGCTCTCATCTTGAGCTTGGAAGAGGTGGTCCTTGAATGTTAACCAACTATCTTGGGCCCCTTTACCATCTAACACCCTGTCCCATGGGATTTCCCCTAGCAATCACTTGAAAAGGCCAAATATTGCCCATTGAAAGCCCCTACAAGGACTGAAGTGTCTTTTCTTATTCTCCTTCCCCATTTCTTAATGTCTTGGGGGAAAAAAAGTGTTAAATAGAAGCTGTTCCTGACTGATACTTTCTGCTCTGATTGCTTTCTGGTTATAGCACACTGTGGCACCAGCTTTTCACGCACACAAACAGCAAAGCAGACAACTCACATCCCGAGCAACACGCAGTCAGGTCTGTCATTTCAACCACAGAATGACAGAACAGCCTAGGTTGGAAGGGACCTTGAAAGATCATCTGGTCCCACCTTTTGTGGGAGAGAGAGTCTAGAGGAGATTGTCTAGTACCCTGTTCAGTTGCGCCTTGAAAACCTCCAGCCATGGGGACTCTACCATGTCCCTCAGGAGGTTGTTGCAGTGAATCATCATTCCTAGAGTAAAAAATCTCTTTCTTATGTCAAGATTTCTGACATCTTCTGTATTTTCTAATAAACGCTCTTGGTGCTGCTGCAGATGCACTTATCAGACTCCTGCTGCAGGGTGGGCCTAAACCCCAGCCCCGATGGTGGGCAAGAGCAGGAGCAACAACCCACCTGGGGATGGGCACGCTGGGCTCGCAGGTCCCACACTTCCAGGGCTGGCCTCAACCTGCTGGCTGGTGGCTGTGTCTGCTTCCAGCGGGGAGGCCTGCAGAAAATAATACAGGAGAAAGACACTGAGTAAAGTGGAATTAAAAGTATGTATTAATTCCTCAGGGTAGTACTTGTTGCTTCTTTGTAATGTGTTTGAAACAGTGTGGTTTAGAGCTCAGCAGGGAGCTGGGGAGTATGTTTCGGAGCAGTATGTGCCACTTGGGTGTTGAATCACTGGGCTTTAATCTCCTTTTCAAACTGTTCATCAGTAACCGTCATGCATTTGGTTTGGAATAGCTCCTCCAAGCTTTTAAAATTGTAGGATATCTTGGATTGTGTTAGCTGGAGATAAGCACACATTTCACCCCTAGTTTCCTCTTCCAGAATAACAGAAAAACGTATGCATTAGTGAAAACATAGCACATACTAGGGTTTGAAAAGTGGCAAAGTAATTAAATACTTCCTTTATTTCACGGTTGTCTAAACGATCTGTTATCTAAAAGGAAAAGCCAGAGTCAGTATTAAAGGTAATGAAATACTTTAAACACTATTAAGAAGGGGACTGAAAAAAATATGGTAAGACCATATCAAGCCAATAATCCAAATCCCTTTGAAAAGCCAGCTTCCTGACACAGGACAAGGCTGTTGCAGAGCTAAAACGACACTGTCAAAACAAGGCTAGCACTTCAGCTGATGTATTTAGCAGCTTCCACTTTACATCCGCTTTCCCAGTAGGCAAATCAAGAAAAAATCTGCAGCAAACTGATCAGCCACTGCACTGTGCTTCTAACTTCTGAAGGATCTAGAAAATGGCACATTCAACAGAGGGAAATAAAAAAGCAGACTACTTTTAGAAATAAAAAGTAATATATTTCAGAAGCAGCCTATTGTAGACTCGCTTTCCTGTCTTCCTCCTAGCCCTCCATCTTATTAACAGCTGCAAGGGAGGAAATCTGATGAAATTTCCTCTTTTCTGGGGGCAGGATTCAGACCTCCACCTTCTGCACAGACCCTGTTTCCCATCCCTGCAGAACCATATGAGCCTACACCCCCTCATCCTGTCCATGCCCCAAGAAGAGGAGACCTGTGCTCTCACAGGTTGATCATCAGGGATGTCCGTTAGCAGTGACGACAGGACACCAACACCTGCGGACACATTTTGGCTCCAGAGAGCTTTGCTGTCGGCAGTGCTCGTTGGAACCCCTGCCTCTCTTCTCTCTAGAGGGAGGCTTGCTCCGGAGAAGTGCAAGGAGCATGACTGGGAAGATGTCCTGCAAGGAACTGGTGAGGACCAGTGTGGGGCCACAGCCAGAGGCAGTGACCCAGGCAAGACCAGGGGGCAGTGAGCAGTGCCAGGAACAACAGAAGGAGCTCACAGCTGCCAAGGACTGTGCCAGCACCTCGCAGCAAGACAGGCGTCAGATCACAGCCACCAGTCTCTGGAAGTGGTAACGCATCATCTCCTCCGGCACCTCTGGGGGCTGGCTGCTTGCTGTGCCCCCACTGCCCAGTGCTTTCCATTGCACCCTCACCTCTGCCCATCTAAATCCTCCATCCTAGGCATGACACGGGGACACATGGAATCACAGAATCATTTAGGTTGGAAAAGACCAGTAAGATTATTGACTCCAACCATAAACCTAACACTGCCAAGTCCTCCTCTAAACCATGTCCCTAAGCACCATGTCTACACGTCTTTTAAATACCTCCAGGGATGGTGACTCAAGCACTTCCCTGGGCAGCCTGTTCCAATGCTTGACAACCCTTTTAGTGAAGAAATTTTTCCTAATATCCAATCTAAACCTCATCTGGCACAACCTGAGGTCCTTTCCTCTTGTTCTGTTGCTTGTTACTTGGCAGAAGAGACCAACACCCACCTCGCTATTCAGGTAGTTGTAGACAGTGATAAGGTCTCCCCTCAGCCTCCTTTTCTCCATACTAAACAACTCCAGTTCCCTCAGCTTCTCCTCCTAAGACTTGATCTCTAGACCCTTCACCAGCTTTGTTGTTCTTCTTTGGACACAACCCTCTCCTGCCTAAAAGTGGTTCTCAAACTGGATGAGGCAGGGGTGAAATACGCACTCAAAAATGTCAGCATGGAAAGTTTGAGGACTTCCTCTCTGACCTGTCCATTTGTGACCACACCCATCCAAGAGCAAACAAGGCATGGAGCTCCCCCTCCATGTGTCACATGCCCCAAGGAAGGACGGTCACTGGAGATGAGGCACAGCCTAAAAAATAGGCTCCAGAGAAATGTTCCAGAGTCTCATGCTTCAGTAGGTCTGCCTCTTGCCATTCTGTTGCTGTTTTCTTCCATATAACCCACCTCACTTCCCCAGTCCATCTTGATGCCAGCCTGTGTTTCCACAAGAGCTTTCTCACTGAAAGCCCAGAAGAACACTGCAATTAAAGAAAAAGTCTCCTCCTGCCTCAGTTCTGGCTCCTGACATGACAGCAGCCAGGGCAGAAGCTACTGGAACCCTTCCTAACCTTGCTCGATGCAGAAATAAATACTCCTTTTCTCCATGAGGGTAGCCAGGCAGTATAACATGCTGCCTAGATAGGTTGTGCCATCTCTGTCCTTGGAGGTTTCCAAGGTTTGAATAATGAAGCCCTCAGCAACCCTGTCTGATCTCATGCCTAATCCTGCTTTGAGTAGAAGACTCAGCTAGAGATCCTACAACCCACAAATCTCCATTAAACCTAAACAAATGTCTATTATCAAGAGCTCAAGGTTTGCCCTGAACAAGGTAGATTTTATCTGGAAAAGCAAGAGGCACCTACTCGACAACCCTACCCACTGCTCCAAAGCATAAGCCCTTCCAAAGATATTGTTGCAAATTTCAATTACTAATACCTTTATTATTATTATTTTTGGTAAGGCAATGGAACTCCCCCTCTGCTCCCAAAAAACAACTGTACAAACTGAAAAATAATAAATAAAAAAAAAAGAAATTCAGCTTTAATTTTAAGCTCAGAGGCTTTAAAGCTATAAACAGTGATAAACTGGGGCTGATAAAATGTTAAACAGCGTTACATACACCAAGGGAAGGCAAGTGCTGGTGGCAGCTGGAGCTGGGGAAAGAGCACAGCTACACTGGCCTCTCGGAGGGTTTAAAAACTCAGCAAATGCACTTTTATCACCTCTGGTTCTAGAGTTACCTCAGGAACCTAAACACGGTGCTGTGTCACGTAGCCATCCTGCATAAGTGCAATAACTAAATATACCCATAACCTATATCCAAGAGGTTCAACCAGGTATAGACATAGGTGTAAAAAAAGAGCTACTACTTGCTGCAGGAAATTTAATTTTGCAATGACATGCTGCAGAAGTTCTGTTCCTGCTCACGAGACTTGACTCTTCCTCCTCCCTCTGCTGAGCAACTAAATGCTAGCGACATAAAGCTAAAAATATAAAACTGATTAGTAAGTAATTTATAATAAAATTAAGTCAGCTTCACTGGGGAACTCTCTTGTTCCCAGTATAACTAATTCTATTTATAATATCAAGTAAAGTAATATTACCTAGTATTTTATCCACAGTTATATGACACATTTAAGAAAATTATTGTACCAATACAGCCAATAAAATGTCTTTTTTACCACAGACTATTATCCTTCACATTTCATAAATATCTTGTAATCAAATGATGATGATACCACTGAACATGAAAAAGGCAGATGAGCATTTCATTGTACCTAAGAGGATCGTTATTTTGACACAGACCCTGAAAAACCGAACAACTTGGTGAATGGCATTTTCGAGGAGCTCTCATGCTTTGGGATGAAGGACCCACGCAGCCCCTCAGCACCACCCCGCTGCAGCCACATGCATTCATGCAGGCAGAGGTGGCATTCTGCAGGACTGTAGAGCCAGTTCGTATGCTGGCTCTGCTGCAGGTGCCCATGAGGGAAGGTCACACAACACCAGTTCGTCCACCACCACAGGCGAGAAAGCCTTCAGGGGAAGTAGGAAAAACCTTGCTGCATCGGGGCTGTGGTTATCTCTGACCGTGGATCCAGGCTGGTGTGAAGACTCTGTCTCATTAATTCCAGAAGACTGAAGAATGCTGTCTACTTGGATTGGTGTTTTTATCACCCCATGCATCTACCTACCCAGGAGTTAAAGTGAGCTTCCCCATTTAGGATTTAGAAGCTTCAGTCCATGAGGGAAAGTTAAATATTGTGATAGGATTTGCAGTTCTGAGCACACCAGTGAGAGAGGACAATGCAACAGCTTGGTTCTGCTAACCAAGATATCCACTTAGCAAAGACACAAGCACAGGTGACTATATAGTGTTATTAAGCACCTATTAGGCATAGAAAATTAATTTGTGGCAGACAGGATTTTTATCCCATAAACTAGGATATCAGTCTAGGTATTTCTTTAATTAAGACCATACAAGCCAGAAATAGCCTTATCACCTATCACTATGGCAGAACATTACATCTTTATAAAACCCTAAAAATACTATAACTAGGAACTTCTAAAACACTAAATATCGCAACTACTACAAGAATTCAAACTCCAAATGAAGTTACAGCAGAACTTTATTAACTCTTATTGTAAATTAAATCAAAACATGGATCAGTTAACACTACTTGTACACAAAAATCACGTGAAATATCGTTACTATATTTTCTATGAAAACATGACAAACCAAGCTATCCTGAACCAGTGAGAATGCAGAGATATTAGGAAGAATCAGGTTAGAACTACAGTTTAAATTCTGTAAAATCACTCAGGAATGGAACTGGTTGCAATATCAACAGCAAAACATGTAAATTGCCTGACGCATCTCTCAAACTTCTGTGATTGAAATTGTACTCCTGTCATTGACTTTAAATTTTTCATACAATGATTTCCTCATCAAAGCTAGCATTTTCTGTGTTGTGAATGGTAATGGTGGCGTGACCTGGGGCTTGCATGCTGTGCCAGTATAGTACTACAGCCAGAACACTGCTCTGACACCTTAAGTCATCTGCCTCATCTGGCAGCAATATAATGCTATACTCAGGCCAGCTATTACAACCAAAGACCAGGGTGGATCAGTAATGGACAGAGAAGCCTTGAAAGCACTGCAAGGAACAGCATTAAGTATTCTTGCTAGTAATTTTTCTAGAGTTATTACTGCTCAACTGGAATGTAAAATAAGCTACTGTCACTCATAGACACTGAAAAGCACACAGGGGTTTGGATGACAGGAGACATGGACTCTAGAGTCACAACCACATCCCAAGCAGAGTTCCCTTCTAGCTGCTTTGAAGCTTTGCTGCTCTCACTTCTCATCGTAAACCTTTTTCCCTTCAGGTAGTCCAGCCCTCCAAGCATCTTCCCATGTGTGGTTCAAGGTATAGCTGTCAATCTGGAACAGACGTACTTCGTCTACAAGCATTTCTTGTAACAAATCAAAGAACAAAGACTTGTCCTACCAGATATGTACAAATCAAGATTTCAACCCTGCTTTCCTGTAGCTTGGCCAACAACCTTCAACCACAAGAAAGCTTGTACTTTAATCTCAGTTCAATCGTTGGAATTTGGAAGATGGAGGAGTGTGTTACTTGGATATTAAAAAAAACAAGGTTATTTTGTGCCAAGCATGCAGTGAGTAGTAGCAGACAAGTTTAAGCTAGCTAGTGAAAAATTAAAAGAAAGCCAAAATTTCTCCCCACCATCACCACCCTGCCCTGATCTTTTTAAAGTTGCTGTCTATATATATATATATTTTTTTTTTTTTTTGGTTGATCAGAGCAGAGCTATAATTAGAGCTGTAACAAGCCAGTAACTTCTAAACACTCATACAAAGATTGGTTAAAATAATGTTACTGAGTAACAAATTAATCCCCCTAAACTAAAATCTTTACAAATATTGTTTTAAAACAAAACATTTACTTTGCTAACTTGTGCTTCAAAGAGCTGGAGGATACAACTTCTCAGCATTTGTAATATGCCTAACTGTTCTGTATAATGGAAAGAAAACACGACCTAATGGCTGACAGGTAGGACTGGGGTGAGGAGATGAGTCTCACATTATTGCTGGCATTGCCACTGACTGATCAGTCAGTCTTTGGGCCTTTGCCCCCGTTTTTCCAGCTGCGATAAGAGAGGTGTGCTTTACCTACCGCCTTTCTTAGCAGCACATCGCTCCACAAACACTAGTGGGGTATTTTCATCCTGCTTATAGGCCATATTTATCCTTCCTAGCCTTAAATCATAGGCAAAATTTGATAAGCTACTTTTAGTAAAGGCAAATCTCTTATAAAATTAAAATAAAATAAAATCTATGTACTTTATCTGTACACTAGAGACACAAGTAGAGTTTCTTGAAAATACATTTCTTTACCATCCTTCCCACCTGCTGCAGCTTTTTGCATCTCATTTCGGAGTAGATTTAGGCAGGAGTTACATAAGTTTTCCAATCAGTCTGTGATTGCCAACCATTATTTGATTCACATATAGATGGGGTTCTTCTCTGTCAAAAAAACAACTGAAACTGAGGTCTCACCCACATAAAATGACCTCTACATTTCTCCAGTTCCCTGAAAACCTCAGTCATATTAGTGTTTTAAATTGTGCGAGTTGACTAAACTGTTTTCCAATTTCAGGCTAAAAAAGTTGTTGAAGCACAGCTGCACAGCATCTTCCTGTGCTGCAGACAACGCCTGAGGCCAGCTGGACAGATTTAGAGCAGGGCTACAAAGCTTCAAAGGGAAGCCTGCCAGGCAGAGAGAAGACAGGACTGGCCCATTTGACAACTGAACTGAAACAGCAGGGGAGCAGCCTTAAGAAGGATGGACGAGGATGAAGGGGCTCGCAAAGAACAGGAAGAGAATCAGGAGGGGAGGACAGGAGGGCCAAAGGTAATGTATATGTGAAAAGGAATACATACTTCACAGAAGAGATGCAGGGCAGAAAATGAATGAATAAAATACAAAACTAAGACACATCTCAGAGCAACTAGAGGGGAAAAAAACACCCTAGAAATAGCATCTCTTAACAGGCAGGAGGAACTAGTGCCTGTGAATCTTATTCAAAGCTTGGGAAGGACATAGCTAATAAGAACTGTATCAATAAAGGAAACTATACAAATAAGGGCAGTGAAAGCAAGTTCAGAAAAGTCTTTGAAAACGTGCTCAATTTGTAAAAGTTTTCTCAAGGCAAAAGAAATGTAGTAATTTCTTCCACTTCAGACAGCTCTGCTTCTTCATCTCAGCTATTTTCTATCCCTGTTTCTGTGATCTTCTCCTCTTCTCCTAAAAATTCATCAGGGTTAAGCTACTTGTGGGAGGAGATACAGCAGCAGCTTCAGAAGGCCTTCTTACTTCCGAGAATGTGTAGCTTGGAAGTTCAATCCTGCTGGGGAAAAAATCAAACCCCTTCTTCCACTCTGGAGGGCTCACAGTGACAGCTAGAGTTATTCAGCATCCTACCCAGCAAGAGGCCATGTTTTATGAGCAGTGGGACAAGCCCAGGAGGCTCTTTCCTTTCCTCATTTGGAGTCCCAACCTTCCTAGGTTTTTTCTTCAGAAAGGAGTTTAGTGTTTCAGACTCTGTAGTGCAGGCTGACGTTGTTGTGTTTGTTGTCCAGAAACCAAAGTAAAATAGGTATAGGGAGAAGGCTGAGTGAAGTGAGTCCAGTGTAGCTGCCCAGGTCTTGCAGATAAGGTCCTAGACCAATTGCACCCACATCAAGCTGCCTATAGCAGTGTTGGTCTGTGCCCCAACACACACAGTGAAGAAACCAAGTATCAATAACATGCCCCATCTCTGTAACCTGGCATCTAAGCCCTTCTAATCCATGAACCAGGGCACTCCTGTATGCTCAGTAGCTAAATTACTGCCCATGCCTTCATCTAAGGACAGGGACCTGGAAAATTAAGTGAAGCAGCTGGGTAAAGAGAAGCAAACATCTAGAAGGAACAGAACCTGTAATCTTAGGCTGGCAAATTCCCTTCCAGTCACAGGCAGGTTTCCTTCTCTCCCCCCCCACCACACTCAGTGCATTCCACTTGTTTCCCCATGTAAGACCCCTGAAAAGCAGTCTCCTCTCCTTGCTCTGCCCTTGACATGCTTGACACACATAACTTCGCTTGAAGCTAAAGTGCCAGGAGTAATTATAATGATTTGCATTACCCAGTCACATTATTGATGAAATCATGAAACTAGCAATATAAAATCCTTAGAGCAGAGAAACTCTCAATAGCATCATTTGGGTGCACACTTGTTCTCTCAAGAAGTCTTCAAGGTTAAGTACACTCAAACTTACAAACCAGGAGGTGTTCTGCAAATGTCAAGAGTCACAAGGTATCTGAGAATTCAAACTCTTCCGCCTCCTTTGCCAATATCCCCACAAGGGCTAAGACATTGGAAGTGGAAACTGGACACAGAAAAATCTGTATTCAGCTGGCCACACCATCCTCAAAGCTGTAGAAAGGGAAGGATGAGAGGGCATCAAACAGGTACAAAACCACCCAAGCCCTAACAGTGGCTTCTGTTGTTGAGTTTCCTCTCAACATTTCCTTAGTTATACTGGTCTGGAAATCCTAAAAAAGGAGACAGTAACACTTTTATTCAGCTGCTTTTCTGATTAACATTGTGCTTCTAACCTACAGCAAGCTGAGGCTCTCCTCTGTCCTCTGAACATTCCCATTACCAGCTCTCCCAGATCAGACGCAATGCTTACTTGGCTTTTCACTTACAGCCAGTTCATGCTGACAGGAGCAGCCTCTGCTTTGCCATCCCTGCCTGCTTTCCTGAAAATCATTCACTTTTGACTCTATACTAGTTCCCTTTGACAGGATCAAGTCTATGCTCACAGCACATCCCAGCTCCCATGCTTGCTGCACGCACTGTGGCTTGGTTGCCCATGGACAGAGATTGGCATGAAGAAGGAGAATAAGGTAAGATGTAAGCCCTTTGGCATGCATGAACCACGATCACTCCCCAGGACAGATCCCTGCTCACTCCCAGTTATATGTCCGGATAATGCTTGGATGAAATCTAAGATGAAAGCAAAAAATTATCATACTCCAACTCTCACCACAGCTCTGATTCTCTTTGTTGTTACACAGAAAACAACGGTGAGAATTCCCTCTCCTGCTACTTGTTTGCAATCCTTTCACATGCTTTATTTGTAGTCTGGTCCTTATTTCTTGTTTTGTTTTTACTGTCTACTTTTATTACAGTTTTGTAGCATCTCGATTTTTTTTGCTGTGATATGTTCTAGTTTTAGTCCTGCCTTTTTCTCTGAGGAAGAGGGGGAGAGAAAGATGAAAAGGTAAAATTAATTTGTTTCTTTGACAACGCAGTTAAGAAGCACATTGCCCCCCCTGAGCATTTCAACAGCTTATCCCCTTTTCTACTATTTCTGAGAGGGGAATGAAAGCTGAATGCTCAAAACTGCCAGCACATCCACATCCTCCTCTTTGAAAATTGAAAACTGAGACTAATTATAATGGCTCACACAGTTCAATTACGTTGCTGATCTAATCAGCTAACATCAGGAGAAGCGCTGAATAAATCTGCACAATAGCTGGGACACAGAGTATATTTCTCCCTGGCCCAGCACATTTAAAGCATGCTTATCAGCTGTGTGACATCCGAAAAAAAAAAAGAGATGCTAGCTGCAAAAAGTTTTTTTAATCTTCCCCTCCCATTTCTCTACTGACATCCCAAAGGAAGAAGACTTGACTTTACAAAGGATCTGTGTTTTTTTTTCCCCTGGTCCAAGCACACCCTCTTGAAATAAAGCAAACATAAGCACTCAGGTTTCATTAGTTAGTGATTAAATACGTTATGAGACAGAAAACTGGCAGAGAAAGTAGGGCTGGTTTGTTCATGTTGGCCTTACTGTTGGCTCTTTGTGCACACTCTGAGTGACAGGTCTCTGTAAACTGAGCTCAACACTTGTGGGGTCCGTCTTCAACTCTACTGGGGACCTGTCCCCTCTGGCTACTCCGTCAAATTTCAGAGATCTGCTTGGCGAAGGAGTAAATATTACTGTTGTACACTCTTTATCCTTCTCTTCCACGCCATTGAAATTCTCTCCGTTCATGCTGACTTTTCCATCTACCTGCAGAATACAGTTAAATAAATATGCTGAGGCAATTAGCATTCAAAGGAATTTAGGAAATTAGAACTTCAACATGATATTACAATTGTTAACACAGTCTGTTTCATCAGTGAAAGACAATGCCAAGCACACATTTCATGCAACTGGCCAAGATAGAGGAAAACCCTATTCCAGGGGGGTCATAAACAAAACACAGACAGAAGGAAATAGTTTTTCTGCTTTCCCTGGTATCCCACATTTTGCTCTCCCCATAACACACAGAAACCCTTTGTGTGCATCATAGATCAATGGATTTTAAAAGAATGAGAAAGCGTTATGTTAAATTCAAACCAAAACTCCTGGGTTTTGCATTGCCTCATGCAAGAGGCAAGCAGGTTCTCCAGAACTAATTACACTGATTAATTGCTCTGTAACCTGATGACCTCACCACAGTATTAGCAGACCGTGCTTTCTGAAGCACTGTCATGTGAACTTTGAAGGGTCAGGAGCAGCAGAGTTCATCCACTTGTTTCTTTACTGTTCATAACAGGGAAACAAGGAACCAACAAATAAAACAGGGCATTCCACCTTCTCCATGAGGCGATAAAATAAATAGCTGCTTTCTCAGAAAATGATTTCATGCATTCTACATGAAAACGAGAGTGTAGAAACAGTTTAACTGCTTTGTTCTCAAGGTCAAGCTAGCTCCTTGGTGGACACATATTCTTGCTAACGAATCCCTGAACAAGGAAGAAAATACAAAATAAGCTCTAGTTTCTTCCTCTGCACTGATACAGCTTCCTCTCAGGACTTTAATACTTCATAATTATGTTGTGGAGGTGGCATGTAAAGGATTTCTTCAGTTTGGAGGGCTGTTTGTAGAAGTCATGGTAAACATGAAAAAAGTCTTGCTACAAAGAACTCACAAGCCATTCACCGTAAGAGCTGGAGAGAGACCAGGAGAGGACCAGGTATCAGGAACACCATATTGCTCCTGCCTAGCTACAGCACAGATGTTTATAGGCTTGTCAGCAGGGTTGAGTTTTAAATAGGTTTGAAGGAGGGCTTTGCTACTCTGTCCACAGAGATCCTTCCTTGCAAAATGATCATCATGGGAGACAACACAAAGGTGATGGAGTGAACATGGCCAGACTCTTCTCTGGTAATCACTGGACTTTGGGAGAATAATGGCACAGATCAGTGATTTCTTAGAGAAGCTATGTAGGATATATATGGTCATTAGTAATTTCAGATTTTTCCACAGGTACTGCATAAACAAAAAACATGTAAAAACAAGCTCAGAGGTAAGCCATTCCATGGGAACTTTGCACTTATTTCACTGTTACTGAAAACTGATGCAACAAGTGTCAAAACTGCTTTATCAAACTGAAACACAGTTTAAGAAAACAAAGTTCTTCACATCTCATCCTCCCTGCCCAATTCCTTATTTCACCATTTACTTAGCTTTAGTACTTTACTTCTTGAGTAAACAGCTTGGATGCCTCCAGAGTAGAACTCCAACATAGTATATGCCATCAGTGCTAAGCTGAGGGCAAACTCCTCCCGTTGACTTCTTGTATACATGCATCCAGAGTTCTGTTCTCTGTCTGAGGGTGATTAACTACGGGGCCATCTCTGAGGCGCTGTGTATCCTCAGCTTTGACAGACGTGCAGGGAGGTGAAAGCAGTTAGCAGCTCACGCAATCAGCTCCCAGACAGAGGAGGTAACAGCCCAGCTCCACAAGCGCTTTCACCTTCTGACGGCTTTTCAGATGAAAAGGTTCCCTCCCTTTCCCCACTGCCATCATCCACTCAACACAGTACTACTTTTAGGGTTTATTTCCAAATGCAAGTTGAGCAGACACTGAACCCCAAGTCTTCTGGGACTGCGTGCTGGATTATCTACTAGAGAGGCAGGTCATGAAAGATCTCAGAAATAAAAAAGCCAGGAAAACACTGGCAGGCTGCACTATTCATTTTAGTGTCTTTGTTTAGACTAAGACATTTCTCTATTTATATTAGGGAGGAAAACCAAATGTTTGAATGATCAGGACAGATGCCCTGGCTGCAGAGTTAAACAAGCATACTCCTTTCCTTCTGATCTGGAGCAAGTCAACACATTGTCACCAGAGCTGAGAATCATCGACAGACTGGTGTTTCAGGGGAAAATAATGCTGCAGCTATATATGCTAGGGAATGATTCCTACCAAGGCATATCACATTCTCCCACATCAAGCGAACAAGACCTAGTTTTAGTTGTGGTTGGTGGGGGGGAGAAGCATCTGCGGGTTAGTTTCTCCCCACATACGTGAACTATATACACATTAACATGAAGATGGTCTTTGTTCTCTGAGGAAAAAAGTGGCATCAATCAGAGAACAATAACAACAAAAAGATCCATGATTCACTGATGTCTAAAATGTGAACTCTAGGGGAATACCAATTGAGATATAGGAGAAATAGGAATTACCAGTTTTAAATTTCAACTAGGAAACATGGTGGGGGAGTTTCCACAAGAACTAGGACAGACTTTAAGAAATTATCAACATCACAACATGTTTTTTTACCATCTGTACAAAGATGATTTATTTTTTTTAAAAGTAAACAACCTGAATATACCTGGTAGCAATGCTACTGGGACATGAGCGGGGCTGCAGGGACCCCTCTGTGCCATTACCATAGAATCAACCACAGAATCACAGAATGGTTTGGGTTGGAAGTGACCTTTAAAGGTCATCTAGTCCAACCCCCTTGCACTGAGCAAGGACATCTTCAACTAGATCAGTAGCAGCTACCACAGTAGCAGAGAGCAATGGCAGGCACAGGGGGACCAGAATTCTACAGGCTGGGGCACTCATGCCCATAAGATTCATGCTGCCAACAGCAGAGGCTACAGTGAGACTTGGGGAAGCTCTGCTTTTGGTACAGGCACTGTTAGAAGCAGATTTCCCCAAACTTGATTTATTCTGGCCTGTTCTCTCTAACACATCCCAGTTCTTTGCTTTCTCCATTATTGGTTCAGTATTTTACTCCCATTCTCCACACCCACCCAGTCCAAAGATACACTCCTCAGGTTTCATATCCCAGTTGCAGTCTCTTCTCCAATCTCCTTCCCCAACAAATCTCATAGCTGGCTCCTTTTACCAGGCAGCCCTGGTAAAGAGAGAACTTTCATCCAAGCTCTCTTCTTTTATTCCCATAATCTTTGCGCAGTTCTTGCAACCCAACGCAGTCACTCTCCCTCTCTCACCAGCAATCCCCAGTTACACCACTGCCCCAGTACCAATCTGTTCACCCCCCTCTTTGCGCCAGTGAAGCAGCTTTCCTCATTCATCCCTGGTGAGAACCATGTTTAGGACAGAGAGTATCTCTGGGCAAGTTGCCTCTTCACTTGGAAGGAGTGGGGACTCTCCACACTGAAGACATGCACACTGCAGTGTTTCAAAGGCTTATGACTTGGCTGAATGAGACAGACTTGTCTGGGTATGGCAAAAATCAGGCCTCTGATACAAAAGCCAATTCAGGTCTCACTCCAAAAGTCAAGGCCTCCACGCTCCCTGCCTCTTCCTTTTTGTTTAAAAACAAACAAACAAACAAAAAAACCCCATGACAATATAAGCTTTCCTAACCTCTTTCTCAGAAAAAGCCTTGATTTTTCTTAGAGGCTACCCTTTCCCCGTCTTTCCTCAAATTTAGCTTAAGGAAAAATGACCAGTACAAATATTCCAGTCTGAACAGGTTAAGTTTCTAAGAAGGCTGGTAACCAAGAAGAGACCACTAGACTGGGCAGCAGAGAGCATGAAGCTGAGTTTTATAACATCAGAATGCTGCAACCATTTTCTGCTTAATTACATTAAACATTTTTATGTTTAGATGATTTAGTCAGGATCTCTTTGCCTCCTGACTGACTTTGGGGACTGCAACGTATCCTACCTTAAAGTTCTTTAAAACCTCCTGCGTATTTTTGGGTTGGGAGTAAGGCTTGGGTGTCAGCATAGGCACAGCCTTGGAGACAACACTTTTGCTGGGAGACGTGCGGCCCGTCGAACCACTGGGCTCTAGTTCAGTGGTGGGAACAATGGTTGCTTCAATGGTGGCAGTGAATTTTGGAGCAGGCAGTGACTGTTGCCTTAAATATCTCAGAGGATTTGGGTCTTTCAGTGGGGAATTTGGCTCCACTGAATGGCTTCTTTCCAGAATTTTTGGCATCTGCAGACGCTCAAGGACAGCTTCACTGATAGTGAATCTTTCGATGTACTGCTGGAGGATGCTCTCAGCCTCCTCCTGTGACTTTGCATTCTTGTATGCCTCATGAAGCTCTCGCTCTCTTCTCTCTCTGCAAGGGAGATAACACAAGATAGACCATCGCATTAGCAGTAACACTGGAAATCACTCCTATTTCCTCTGCTCCATCAACATCCTTCCCTCTCCTTCACTCCAGATCTGTAGGCACAGCTGCCCACAGTTACCTATCACCTACGGAGCACCCAGCATTTTCAGACACGCCACTGCACTTCAGTAAAACAACGTACTTCTCTTCCACAATTTCTCGGTAGGTTTTGATGCTTTTTCTGCGCTCATTTGTTCCATCTCCAGACAATAACCTTTCCATTTTCTTTCTCTCAGCTTCTTTTTTTATTAAATCCTGTGAAGCGCTCCTTCGACGACTCTTCCACCGAGCCAGGTCCTGCAAGAGAAGGAAGGTATCTGAAGGCAGAGTTGCAAATAGCTAAAAACTGGCCACAGAAACCAATGAACCCAGCCAGCTGCTTCATAACGCTTGTTCCTGGCTGTGGACCAGGCTCCCATGACCTCCAGGCAACGATGTTTATTTTAAAGAGAAAAGGAGATCATACCATAAAATGAAGATGTTGCCTGACTGATTTTTCTCCTTACAGCAGGATCTGGTAAGGATTTCATAGCTCCACTGGTATATTTTCTTTTTGTAGTGTTGCAGAAGCACGCTATGTGATAACACCAGGAAATCTGGCCTAAAAGGACCAGTCAAGGCACTCATTTTACTTGGGCCAACCTTACGAACAAAACCTGATTCCCCCCCGAAAATGAAGTAGAAAAATTATGTTTCGTGAAGAATTTTAATAGTCAGACGTGTGGGAGGCAGGAGCTCACTGGAGAAAGGGATGTAATTTCACCATGAACTACAGCTGCACTGCTAGTTTGCCTTGGAGAGCTGACAGGCCCATACTTTGCCCATGCTATCAGCCAACTACATGTAAGCTTGGTTGATCCATGCTTTTTTTTGTTGTTGCCTTTTTTTTTTTTTTTTTTTTTTGGACAGAAAAATCCAGTGCCGCATCCAAACATAAATTCTTCCTTATGGGCACTCTCCAATATTTTGGACCCAGATCTGATCAACACTGGTTAGAGACTAAAGTGGCTCACACCTGGTTGGTGTGAGACATGACAGAGCAAAAAGCCTATGGTTTGTATCCAGCTATACAGATATGTCCACGCTGAAGTAATGATCTTATTCTTTTTGGAATCTGCCTGCCCAAAACTGTCCAGAAGATCCACTGATTCTGGTTCTTTACCTTTCTTGCAAAACCAGCCTGACACTAAACCAGAGAATCACAGGAGATACCTGTTACAGGCACCTATCTTTTGCATCCCACTTGGGTCATGAATTCACAAGTTCTGGAGAGTACAGAGACAAGATCTTTTTCACAGTAATAGTATTACAGTAAAGAAGTTTACTAAGCTGTAAAAGTTCTTGGTAGCCAACAAGTAAAGGAACAAAATTCTACGTGTAAAAAATAACCTCTACAGAACTTCTGCAAAGAAAAATAACTTCCTAGGAAACTTTAGGGGCATATTTGTCATCAACTTTACAACATCAGGAGATTAGTATACAGATTGTATTTCAGGCACTCTAACAAATTCTGGTTTTAATAAAAACCAGAGATTCTGTACACATACTTGATTCAAAGGCTATTTCATTAATTACATGGTTTTCCAAATATTTTAATTGTATTTTTATTGGTAAACAGCAGAAGGTACTGCAAGCAAAACTTATTTTATTAAAACCAGGAACAAACCTTGTCACTTTTAATTTAGCTTAAAACCACAAATTATTGACGTTACACTCAAGGGAATGCTCATTAAAGTATTTCTTCACATGACCTACATATATCAGTCTATAATCCCCTTCTTGGAACATAGGCCTTTCATCTTCCTCAGTTACTAATTATTCTCATTGAAGTAGCAAAGCATTTCTTTATTCAGCTACTCCTACTATTGCCTATTGTTTGGAAATTAGTTTTTCATTAGCAAATTTCATAACATAAGCCCTCCTCCTCTTTTTGTAATTAAAAACCAGACATGTTTATCTTTTCCAGCTCTAATGCTTTAGAATAACAACAACAAAAAAAGCCATGAAACCGTTAATTGTTGGCAAATTTACAGCATGGGCATATAAAAAATATCTGACCGTGCATGTGGTGTCGTCTCCATAAAGCCCTCTGAACGCCAAGGACATTCCAGTAAGGGCATTTTTAGTACTCCTTCAGAACTTTTAGTTCACTGTAGAAGGTGCTGAGGGCTTGGAAAACTTAAGCACTTTAGCTCAGAGGATTTTTCATTCAACAGCAAAAAGAGTTCTCAAACCTCTTGAATGCCTGTGAATTCATTCTTATCTCTGCTGGGAAATTATGGCTTCCCACACATACAGATCTCTCAGCTGAAACCCTGCATTGTTCTACTACGAAAAGTTATTTCTTAGTTGTATATACTATTCTTTTTTGAACTTTTCCTTTAATTTTCTACCAAAAAATTCTCTGAGATGTTTCACAGTAGCTGTTCTTATAGCGGGAAATCACTGTATTAGCTGCTTGAAGAGATGTGGTGGTGGTTTGTTGTTTTTTCTTAATTAAAAAAATATGCCCCAAATTCCTCAGCTAAATCAGTCTTTAGGAAGGAACAGGACTGATACTAAAACCTATGATACTAACTTACCTGCAAATCACACTATTCTGTCCTTACTAATTTGCTGAAGATGATGCCATATACCAGGAGAGCTTAAAAAATATATTGAGGAAAGAGGGTTTTGAAAGGCCTTGTAACCCAAGCAGGGTAGCTAACTTGAAGGGTAATTTGTTTGCTTGGACAAGATGGAAAATGTTAGTATTTTTTTGTATCTATGCAATTTTATTCAAGCCAAGTCTAAACTATTTATTCACTGTCCTGCTTAGTCTTGTATTTTGTCACTTTGGGCATTTACTAATTATAAAAGTTAGAGAAATCAGCAGTTAGAAGTTGATCTGCTTCCATTTTTATCTAATCATGATTTAGTTACATTTTTTTAAAAAGCAAAATACCTGGTGCACATGCAGAGGCACCAGAAGGCCTTGTATTCTGTAATTTACATCGAATTATGAACTTCTATGCTTTTAGCAACAATCCACTGGGGGGTGCGGGAGGGGGGAAAGGAAAAAAGCTCCTGATTATTTTAGTGCTACAGAAGAACTGTAGATTTAGCAGGCTGCACTTTTTTGCCTTACTAGCTGGCCAGCATTGCAGGCAATGTTGCATACTCACATCTTGCCATCTGGTCTCGTCCTCTTTAAGCTGGTTGTTTATGTTCTGCAGTTTCTCATGGCGAGCTTTGCTGTGAGGCTGAGACACAGCTTCTTCTTCACATCTCATATCAAACATGCTCATACTCCTAAACATGGGGAGCATAAGAAGTGGTGCAGCATTATTTAGAGGCTTGAGTTCCTTTAGCTTGTTAGAGTTAAAGCCACATGAGGGTGCTACAGCAGAATCAGACACCTGCACTGTTACCAAGCTCCCAAAAGCAGCAGTCCCCTAGAAGGACCACTTAGCATCCATATGGCTCCCACATAGTACTTCAGGCATTATACTCCTCAACTTTCTCTTGTTTTTGTTAGTTGACAGCAAGTTTGTCTCTTGCTAAGAATCACTAGTAATGTTACACCTCCATCAATAGCTTTTACTAAAATCACTATTCAGAGCTGAGTTCAGAACATTTTACTTTCTGAAGATTTGTTTCCCAGTCAGTTTTCAAGACCACTCTAATTAACACTGCAGACAGAAGTTTCCATTTCAGCACAAAACAAGAGAGGCTTGAGAAGTATATTAGGGGCAGCATGGCTGGCTGAATGCTATTCCCAAAGAACTGGGGAGAGCCTGCCCAGAGAGGTACACGCCGTGCAAACAGCATGGTACTTCCTCCTCTCCCCTCCCTCCCTCCCTCCCTCAAGGAAACTCAATACTATCAGCACTAACTTGTTAATACAGCTAACCTAGCAAGCAAAAGCTGACGTTCAGGACAAAATAGTTTCTTTCTACACATTCTATTTCTGTCCCTGACCTTTGGAGACTTAAAAGAAAAAAAAGGTCATGGTTTGATATTACACATTCATTCATATATATAAAGGTCTTCATATGAAGATAATGTACTTACTACTCCTCCCCTGCTACCTATTATTAGTAAAACATGATCTCAGTTGTGCCAGTAAAAGCAAAACACAAAGAAAAAAAAAAAAAGCCATGCAGTTCCACACGAAGTGATTTCACAGCAGTCATCAAATGATCATCTGTAGCTTTACGTGAGCCAACTAGCAGGAGAAGCACCCAGCAAAGATAAAATTGTAGGTGATTGTGTGTGCAGTAATCTAAGTGAACAGACAGGGAAAGCTGTGCATTTATGTATTAGCCAACACTTGTGTTCAGGCAAGCAAAGATGGGAATGAACTGCTCTCAAGGGAAAACTGAAAAGTCTGGACAGTGGATGGAAAAGGACATGCACAGATCCCATCCTGTTAGCAAGTATTTACTCAGAAAGGAAGAACAGAATACACATCCTAGTGCCTTTAAGAATGAACAGCAAGGTTAGCATATTACTGTGGTTCAGCCCTTAAACAGAGTGCTGGGTGGTACACTGATTTGGGTTTCACTGTGGTTTGTTTAAAGGTTGCGTTGCTCAGGACTGGATTAGAACACTCCTAAATAATAGAACCTAAAGAAAGGACAAGTTCTGTTGTTTTTAAAACTAAATGCATCTCATCTACTAAGGAACATTTAAATATCAGCCATATTTTGCAGACTGGTGAGGTAGGTTGGGAGATGCATAACTTGTAATAAAGTCACACTTAATGGGTTTATTCTAGTTTAAGAGCTTTTGAAACTCACACTAAAAATGCCTTTAGTGTTAAGTATTTACCACCTTGTGCCTACTAGGTCAAACTGGTTGTGTAGTTCCCTTCTTGTACCCTTCTCTCACATGCACCTTCTAATCTAGTTGTCACCTCCTGCTGCTGGGCCTTCATTGCCATGGATAAGCAACCAGGGAGGTTCAAACATCAACTCTGCAGCAACACGTTATTGCACAAATGTGTCTTCCCAAGAGAGCAATATGAAGGAGTCACATCTCAAAGCACTGTGCTCTGCTCTGACCAATGTGTAGTAACCATTAAAGAGAATCACCTACTTTCCTGAATACATGGACAAGGCCAACTGAAAAGTGTATAGCAACTTCTCTGCCTGCCAAGTTCATCCTTAGGAAAGAATCAAAGAAGCCAAAACTCAGCTTCTGACAAAAGACACTTTCATTAGGAGTCCCACATCATTTCATCCTATTTCCTTCTTATATCATAGAATCACAGAATGGTAGGGGTTGGAAGGGACCTCAGGAGATCATCTAGTCCAACCCCCCTGCCAAAGCAGATTCCCTACAGCAGGTTGCACAGGCAAGCATCCAGGTGGGTTCTGAACATCTCCAGACATGGAGACTCCACAACCTCTCTGGGCAGCTTATTCCAGTGCTCTGTCATATAAACTACAAATGGCTCCAGCTCATCACTAACACCTTCATGAAAAGAACTAGATTTATTCCTTCCTTCAACCATGCACCGGGTCAGCAGGCACACAGCATGGAAATAGACAAGGGAAGATGTAACTGTACTGAATTACTTAATTAACGTCCATTAATTTTCTGCCATTAGCAAAGCTCTGAGGACTGTATTCAAACTCTGTCTGGAAGCTGGAGGCCTCTCTGCTGACCAGTGCACCAGACCTGCTGTTCTAACAAAAATCTGTGAAAAAACGCTGTGCAGACCAACAGTGTCCTTTGGAGGGCTAGATCTGTGGGATGATGTGATTTTTTAAGTTACACTACTTTATTCTCACAAATTACAGTTGTTCTTGTCAGTGATATCGTGCCTCAATTCTTTTTTTTTTTTTTTTTTTTTTAAAAAAAAAAAAAACCCAAACCAAAACAAAAACAAGTCTGAACAAGTCTTGGATAAAAAAAGTCCTCAAGGATTTGAGTTTCAGACTATTTAACCTGAAAGTGATAAATAAGGTAAAAACCTTATTTTTATAAGAATATGCTAAAAAATCCTTTTTTAGGATAAATTCAAGGCATTTATTATGTGGCTGCATTACTATTTTACAGACATACTAAGACTTAAGAAACCCCAACAAAACACAAAAAGCAACAGGCTGGCTAAAGAACCAGACTCTGGTAAACAAATACTAAAAAAAAAATATCTCAGTTACTATAATCTGCTTGTCAGGCTTAAAGAATAAAGCATAAACCTAAACTCATGCTGGACTGTCACACTACCACTGGAATTCAGCCCCATCTCTTTGAGAGATGGGAATGGGGCTGATGAGCTGCAACATGCTATGCATTGCCTCTTCTGGACCTTGAGACAGACCTGGGGTGATGACAACATCCAGCATTCACTGATCAACGAAGGGAACTTTGTCAGTCTAATAAACAAGGGAGTTTCTAGTTTTGCCACTGGAATGAAGAGCACCTAGTCCAAGACTGGATTCAAGTTACAGAGTTTTCGAAGGAGCCTGACAAACATTTTGGAAGCCTTTTAAATGTCAGTTAAATTTATTTTTTCTACTTGAGAGCCCAATTTTATTAGATTCTTCGTAAGTACTTTGTCTTCAGAACGAAAATCACAATCCTACATTTATAAGAACTTTAAAGACAGTTTAGGAAAACAGTTGCTCTGTAAACTGTGGCACATCTGGAAAGGATGACAACAAGGCTTGGGCATTTATTGTTTTGCCTTTTAAAATGAAATCAGAATCAATGTGGAATAAACAATATGATTTATTAATCTTCGCTACTCTCACATTATACAACCAAATGCACTGCAATGCTTCTTTGAAGGCATCTCCATGTATCTTCTTTCATGTTTACATTCAATACGGACATGCAAAAATGTGGGAAAACACATAAACAATCAATCAGATAGGTAGGCTTTCTGAAATGGCAGGGAAGTCTCCATTGTTAAGTATAACAATTTATGCTGTTTTTATCTCATCTCTTAATTTGATTTAAAAAATTTCTGCTTCTTGAAAATGATCACATTTACCCTGTGGTCAGAAGACACAGGCTCTGAATAGCATAAAAGTATCACAGACCCTGTAAAGAATTTTCAGTCCATGATTCAAGCCTTTATCATTAGAGGAAAGTTTGAAAAATTATATAAAACTCTGAACATACTTGTTATTAAAAAAAAACCCCTCTATGCTATTTATATTTTGTGATTTAATCTGGGGTATAGAGAACGTCATGTGCATTTCTGTGAACAGAAGAAGGGTATTAAGGACATTATTATGTGGGTAGTTCCCAGCTATTTCGTTGCTTCTAAAGGCCTGCACTTTATAAGAATAGCTAATGCTTTCACAGAGCTTTCTGAACGACATTGCATACTATTCTGAACTACAGTTTACATGCATCCACACACCACTAAAATATGTTTTTGAGTGCAGTAGATGTCCTAGCCCTACTCCTTCTGTGAAAAGTAGAGCGTTGAGGTGAAAAGCTTTAAAAAAAGGTAAAGTTTAGTACGTCATTAAACTAAACCCAACCTAGAAGGAATTCAAGAGAAAGTTTTAAAAAGACAATAAAGGAACAACTGAAGATGTGTTTTCCTGGTAATTATTCACATCAGATTTTATTTTACTTTGGGATTTCTTTTTTCTTCCTACATAGGTCATACTTCATTTTTTTAACTCAACACCCAGCCCAGATTCAACCCAACTCTCTTTACCTGCAGCTGATTAGAGTCAATGGAAATTCAGAAGAAAAACAAAAGAAAAGAAAAGAACAAAAAAGAGGAAACAATACTTTAAGCAACAGCTAGACATTAGTGTTATGCTTAGTTTTTATGGGCTTTTATATAAAAATTATTTTTTAGCTGCAATGTAAGCCATATTGCATTCCATTTTTCAGTGCTTTTCTGAAAAATTAATTTGCTGGAACACTGCAAAATAATAATGAGGTATCAACTGCATTTTAAATTAGTAGGAAGATGGGAAAGCATGCAGTGTAAGTTGTTTAAAACAGAATCTTGTGATCACAAGACAACTTACTCTGCGTCATCAGACACAGCAGTTCTGGGGCCGAATCTACAAGACCAAATATAAAATTAGAGCATTTTTAAAAACATGAAGTAGTAATTGCAACCGGATCCATACACTTCGGGTAACTGTCACTTGACCATCCAACCTGTACTAGTAAAGCTGACCGAAAAAGAATCATACTACTCGGGGATTATGCATTCAGCAAACAATAGTTAACTAATCATCTGAAGGTCAAACTATGTAAGAACACCATCCATCCCTCCCTGACCCCATACTAACACCCCCAGTATAAAAATCTGCTGAAGTATACCTAACATGGGTGCAGAAAATAGTTATCGAGAATAAGCAATATATTAACATTTATATTAAGTGCCACACATGCTACGAACAGAGACAAATCTTAACAGTTACACTCCACAGCAGTGCTCAGAATCACCACTACTGAAGCATGGAATTGGCAAATATAGGGATATAGGGAGAAAGTACGCCACAGGACTTCCTCTTTTTTTTTAGTGGGGGGAGGGGTGGTGGTGGCAGGGGGTGTAGCTGAAAAAAGGTACTGGTAATACACAGGTCAGTGTCATCCACTGAAGTAACAGTCTTGTTTAGAGTCATGCAAACCATGTATTTGTAGCTGGGATTTATCATAAAAGAACATCAAGTACAAAAGTCAACGCTCCAACATTTTCTGATCATGGAGAAGCAAGATACACATGTCTGAGGATGCCCCACAGAGTCCCATTGAACCTCTGCTACTCATAAACCTTTTCTGCAATTCACATCTATATTGTAATCAAATATTTCATTAGCTGTAGAAAAAAGAACAATACATTACACCACTACTCTGCTTGTTTCCAACAAGTGTATTACTGACATACAGTATTTTAGTCTGGACTGAAAACACACCAGGCAATGCAAAATCTGAATAGTGAAGTGTGCACACAAGGGTGTACAAGCTGTGTGATTCACACCATTACAGAGCTCACGTTTGCAGATGCTCATCCTTGGATGACAGTGTTTCCGTTTTGTTTTCCCCAGGAACTTCCTGAAGCTTAGATGTTTGATCAAGGTGGACTTCATTAAGGCTACCTTCACCCACTTGGGCAGTACAAATAGTCTCATCTTGTCCTGCAGAAGGGAGACTGCATTTTTCCTGCCCCTGCTGCTGTTCTTGCGGCGGTTGTATTATAGGTTTTCCAGAATTATTAATGCAGGCTTGTGGACTTTTTTCAGGCCTGAGTGAGCCAAAGGCAGCAGCGCAAAGAGATGTGTTAAGCAACATTTGAAAAAATCACATATAACAAAAAGCATAACTGCAAATTAATAAAAAACCCCAAACAGCCGATAGGTGACAAGCTGAGTGAGCTGGGTGCACAAAACACAATTTTAATAGAGGGCTTGTACTTCCATTCCTCTAAGTCAGGAACACAAACTGTCCTGGACATCGCCAAAGACTGAAGTATTAAGTACATATTTTAACTAAGCTATTCAGCTATTATAAGGTCTTCTCAACACCAAACCACTGTTCAATTCTATGGTAGATGACAGAGGTTTTTCTTCTCCTGGCTGAGCTATACACTACCTTTTCATCTGTGTATACACAGCCATATGCACATCCTTTCCTTCTCACGTACTTCAAAGAGGCTGATGAATAAGAACCTTTCCAATCTTGCTTGCAAGTGGCTCAACCAGCCAACACGTAACTCTGTTCAAAGGCTTAAACTGAAAATTTCCCCAGGCAGCCCTACTCATCTGAACAAAGGTGCTTAGAAAGACACCGAGCCTTATCAGGAGAGATCTTCGGGACCTCTGGATTTCCTGTTTGGAAGTCACTGGCACCAGTTAAGCCATAGACAAGCATCTAACCTTCCGTATCCAGCAGTGCTATTTCTAGCTGGAAACATTTGTAATGATTAGCTCATAGTTAACCAGAAACCTCTGCAAATGTAATACAACCTGGCTATGCATATCCTTTTCCACGTGCTGTTAAGAATTTTGCATCTGGTAGAGCTTTGCTCTCAGTCTTTACAGGGCTCTACCAAAAAGGCTAGAAACCCTGCATTGCCGCCTTTTGAGCAGAAAGGGTTGGCACAGAATTGAGGATTAGTACAGAAGAAACCACTGCTGGGCCAACAGCAACTCCTCCAGATCAGGAGATCTTGACAAACAGCCCACAGAGCTAGCTTCAAGGGAGAGAATCCCAGCTTTCTTACCTCATTGTTCTCTTCTCAAGGTCTCTAGCTGTGCCCTGCTTATTGTGCTGCTTTGAAAATGGCATGGGAAGGAACTGCTTAACACTGGGCCCAGGCTGTTTTAGGAAGGCTCCAGTTCTTCTAGCCAACATGTCATCTCTTCGTGGGTCTGGAAATTTCACTTTGTTTTCTGTTCCACCACTCTGCTGCTGAGGGATTTCAAGCTGTTCTTGGCTTTCTTCTCGTGTGACAGTACTGCTCAGAGAGACAAGTGACACTGTTCCATGATAACGCTCACTTGTACAGCTCAAGGCAAGCAGCTGCTCAGGCAACGCAGGGTACTGTTACTCAAAACACAGTTGCAGAGTGACGGACAACTAGGCATCTTTAGCTACAGCACAGGGAGTGAGAGCAAGAGGAAACTATGTTGAACACCACACTTATGTAGGTGATATGTTAGAAGTTGGGCACTGCACAAAAATGTATGCAAGGAATTATTCAATTAGAAGCTAGCATAAAAGTCTGGACAAAGCACCATGGGTTGCAAAAGAAATGCCCCCAAAAGATAAAAGACTCTTTTCATGCTGAATAGCAATTAACAACTGAAGTACTTAAATATTATGAAAACCAGACTGTTTTATGTTCATGGAATACATTCTTGTAAGTAGTTTCATAAAACAGAACACATGCCATGATGAATGAATAAAACGCATCTTTAAAGGCCGCGTGAAGAATGGAACAACACTGCTGACTGATCCAAACTAACACCACACACAAACCAGGCATGAGGCTCAGAGGGATCTGCTTCTGTTCTCTGACCTTTCTGCTTCCTGTGGAGTCTTCAAATCCTTCTCACGAGCCACTGCCTCCCCTTGCTGCTGTTGCAGCAGATGAGGAACTACTGACAGAGGAGGACAATGTATGGGAATGGGGCTAGTGGTACACCTCTGAAAAGTTCCCATCCTTCTAACCAACATATCATCTCTCTCAATGTCTGGTAAATGCCCTTCATGTTCTTCCTTGGTGCTTTCTTGTTGTTTGTTCAAACTGCAAGGGGTGTCTTTCTCAGAGACGATGCCAGAAACTGGGTCAGGTGACAGCATTCTCCTGCAAGAGTCATCTGTACCTGACTTGGTTACCTCACTAGCAATGAGATTAAGAGGAAGGGTGAGATAAACAAAGCATTCTTAGATCAAATGAAAGGTATGAAGAAGTCGTCCTTCAACTCAGTTTGCAAATGTTTTACAAACACACAAACTTAACTGAATGAGTTGTTTGCTAAAAGCATTAATTAAAACTTCTTGCTACAGCTGCAGACTAAGCTATTAAAGAAAAGCCAAATAAATGTAAGCTCTGATAATAAGTTAACTTCCTAGAGCTGTAATTCTCTTCCAGATAAATGCCAGAAACACAGAGTACCAATACACCTTGGTTTCAGCATTACATCTTCAAAAAGAAAGTAAATCCATTAGGTTTGAAGAAAGCATTTTTTTGTACATCAGTAACGCCAGAAAGCTGAACAACAAATTCCTAATGTGCTGAAAGCAGGCAGAGCAAAGCTACTGGGATTCAAGAAGCAGAAAAAGCTTGAACAGCTCAGACTCTGAGATACTAGTGATTCCACTGCTCATCAGAAATTGAGGCAAGCTCTCAGAAGACCTTTGCACAGCGTTGTTTTGCGTAACCTTAAACACATCAAGATGCTATGAAGGCATGAGATGACTTCTGAACAAGGCCGTGCACCTAAACAGCGCTTAGGTCTATGCTGCAGTCCACCCCCATGCAGATCAGCATCTTGCAAGAACAGGTCTCATTTCCAGCTCAGCAGCGCTTCCTAAGCCACACCAAATACCTGGACTCATTCTGTGGCTTAGATACTTCATCTCTGTGTTCAGCACACCCGAGACTGCCAACAGTGGTTGAAGGAGAGCTTTCAACACCAGAGTGACTCTCCACACTGTCTTTCTTGCTTTCCTCTGCTGTTCCACTCTTGGATGAAGCTCTGCCAATAATGAGCTTGTCCCATTTCTGTTGATCAATCTCCGTTACTGGCCCAAAATGCACAAACTTCTGCCTGGGGCTACCAGCCTTTTTGTTTGCTCTGGCTTTGCGGACAGCAAAATCATCATGGGCTGCTGCTTTCACGGTGATTTCAGCTGGTGGCACAGTGTCACTGGGACATTTGAAATCTTCTTCACTAGTATGAATGAGGAATAAAAGAATCCCCCCCAAATGAGATCCAGAATAAAGCAAATTATATGGTCCTAAGGTTTTGAAGTTTTTTATTTTAAAATTCAAGGACAAATGTACAAAAAGCTGTGGTATACTGAGGCCCAAATGACAGATAAAATCCAAAGATACTGAAGATCTGTTGGGGAAACTCTGGGAGCACATCCATGGAAGCCCTTCCTTAGGGGAAGTAATGTAGCATACAGCCCATTCCAGACTCAGCTTTTATACCAAAACCATAGTTCCCTTATCTGCTCACGCAGACCTGGGCCATGCGTTACATGGGACTGCACAAGCAGCAGCACACCTACCTTGTCATGAGGGAGTTCCCGTGGCATGAGAGCACCAGGAACTTCACTTATCCTAAACCAAGGGGACTGAATCTTGACTTTAATAAATCACCTCAAAAGTAACGGAGGGAGTACTAATATCTTTGAGAGGAGAGAATGATTGAGTTTTGATGGTTTGTATTAGAGCTAAAAGTGCACACAGTAACCACATTGTTAGAAGAATGCCTGAAGAGATTGCCACCTTTAATTGGAAAATGGCATGTGCCTAAACAGGAAGGCTAGGAGTTGTTATCCTTTCCTACTGGAGTCACAAATCACCTGCATACGTTATAGCCCACCTCCATAGGGAAACAGCTTAGAATAACTGCTTTATACTAGCTCCTTCTGTGGAGATTTAGTTTACAATAAGAGCATGTCTACACCATACAACAAGGCCCCTGAAACTTCTGCTGCAGTGACAAACAGTGCTGGTACATTTACTCAGCACTGGAGTACAAAGCTATGCAGATATATTAGCCCAGGGCTCAAAAGCAGTATAGACACATTAATGCACAGAGATGCTGATCCTCAGTTAATACCCTCAAAGTGTAATGCCCCAAGTCCTGAAGACAGCTTGGTTAGCAGCAGCACAGTGCTACTGAGTTAGTGGTGACCCATGGACCTTGCTGTTACTCAACTTAGAGCTGCTTCAAAGCAGGTTGATCCACAAGACAAGAGGGACTTTTCTAATATGACATTAAGAGTATCCACTGGGGGAGTGACTGTGAAACTACTATAGTAGTTCTAAATGACGGACACACTTTCATTTCATGATAGATAGATAATATCCCAGTACAGATTTTGGAAACCTCCTGAAAATTTAAATAGGTGAGGACTGTTGTCATCAAGGCATTCTTCAAGCTTAAAACCACAAGCACACAGAGTAGATTGTGACATACTAAACATGCTTCCTAGGGTGCAAATCCTGTCCACAGGCAGAAACCGTACCTGGACTCCCCTGACAGTTTCAATCTTTTCCAGGTCTCCAGATTTGCTTTTGTTACAGAAGCATTCACAAAAATCCCATCTTCTCGTAGCTGAGGAAGGGTACTTTGAGATTTCTGTTTAGCCAAATCATCTCCCTCAGTATCAGGCACTTTCACCTGCTGTTCATCCTCTGACTCAGTCTTCTCAGTTTGCGGAAGTGGGTTCTCTTTGCTTGTCATTATTTGCCTTGCTGATGCCATGTGCACCCGTCGTCTTCTATTAATGCACATTCCAGTTCAGCAAGAAAAGATATTTTGAGGGAGCAATGATAAATCAGTGACAATAGAAGAGGTTCAGAGTACAAGAAGATAAAACCAAATTTATAAGCAGATTAATTTTGCACTAATTTTAGGAAGTAGACATGGAATCACTTGAAGTTGAAACCTGCTCGTGCGCTATTGAAACCACTTCATCATATGACTCCTCCTAGTTTAAGCAAGAAAATTCTGAGTTTGTACTATATTCAGCATTTCTGCAATAAGCTTTCTCATAAATAGTTACAAATATCTCATTCTCATATTATTAGCAAAGTGAATTCAAGTTTTGCTTGCAAACATACTACAGAATTTCTTTGATCTTAGAGTCATGTCAATAGTATTAGAATATTAAAATTTGGCCATGTGCTCTCCAGATGCCCTGCCAAACTAGTAATTAGAAAATGTTTATATAATCAAATTACTGGCTGCTGAAAGGCACGTTTTGCATTACTGAAAAGAGCTACCAGATACTATGAGAAGTGTTTTGAATGTATCAATACAGTTAAGGTCCACTGTAATGTGTATATAGTGGTTTTATCTGGGATCACTCCTCTTTGCACAAATAAATACACTCGTTTCCTGAAGAAGATGTGTGCCTAGCAGATATATCTGTTCAGCAACTTCTTAAAGGTCTGTATTACTGATCTGAAGACAGAAGAGATTTTCTAGGCTGAAGCTTTGTAAGCCATGCTCCATTTCCAAACACAATGCTATATAAAAAACATTAGGACTATGTGCAACACAATTTGGTGCAGTATAACAGGTATGGACATTCAGTGTATTTACTAAAGACTAAGTCCATGTTTTACAGGGTGTTAAAAGAATGGCATTAGATGAAAAAAAAACTGCATCCAAAAATGTCCATTGAAAATGCTCAGCAAAAGAGCTGAGATGCAAAACGTATCTTCTAAGTTCATTCTTCACTAGTCATGCTCATGAGCTGTCTCATGAACTTACATAACAAAAGTGTCTAGTCTTTATGTTGTTTACACTCACAGTCAATTTAAGCTCCTGGTCCTAATACTCTAACAAAAAATTACAGTCTACAGCTCTTTTTTTGTTCACTTTATGATAAAGCATTTGCATTTACTTTATAAATTTTTTGTAGCCAAGACAGCTTTAGTCCTACACAGCTATAAGCCATGTGAAATTAAGCACTGAAATAGAAAGAAAAAGACAATGAACGCACACCTTGCGTGTTCCTGCTTTTCCATCTGCAATGGCTTTTTAATGTCTTCCAGTTTACCTTTTTCTTTACTTGTATAGGGTCCAATTAAAAAGGAGTTAAATGGAACTATGTGTTTGGGTTGATTCATTCTGGCCCTCCGAGTGGCAAAGTCATCCTTTTCTAAATCAGGAACTCTGCTGGCTGCTTCATCTTCTGAACCAGAATCCTTCCCTTGGTAATGTGTCATGAAGGGGTTGTCCCTGCGAAGGATGATGTCTGGGGTGCTTCCGTTGTCTTCACATGTTTGCTTTTTACTGACACAGAGCAAAATTAAAGAAAGCTCTTGATGCACCAGGGGAGGAGAAGAGAGTGGCAGCATTCACCTCCAGGTCAGAAAACAAGCACAGTTAATCAAATATGCTCCAGGCTGTTGTTAGATTGGGCAAAGCCTTGTTATAAATAAAACTTTTCATATACAGGTAACAAATCTGCAAGGACTTCAGACAGAAAATCAGTAGTGTTGGATCTTTACTTATTTTAGCTATAGCTAGAAGAACCAGCAAGAACTAGTTTAACATACTAGATGCAGTGAATGTAGTACTGTAAATGGCAGTATTAAACTTCTTGCACACTTCAAATAAAGAGATTTGATGCAAATACTTGATCCTTGCCAAACATTGCTGAATCCTGAAATATCAAGCATTTGGCACTTTTTCTTGTTAATGGCTCTATTTTTTTTATTTTTTTTTATAAGACCTGGGTAATCACTGAGGGTGCTTGCCCTAAGATTCTTAACTGCTTTTCTTCTCACACACATCCACACTTGATTCTTCCCCTAACTAACCTTCCCTTTCCCCTAGAATAAGCCCTCTGTGCCAATGCTGACATACAGTAGCTACAATGATAGCACCAGTAAGCAAATGATACTGGCATGCTGGAACACACTGTCATCTGCCTTGCTCAGAAATGAGACTGATACCAACACAGTCTTGTTGTTACTGAAGATTATGACAATGAAGACCCTTGACAGCTGTTACCCAGGAAGATTAAGCTTATTTTAGCTTGTAATGGTCAATACTCTTAAGTAAACTGAAATGACAGATGGCAAGAGCTACGCAACTCTCACATTTAAAAATAAAATTGTATTTATTTGTATTTTAGAAAGTTGGATACCAAGTAGTAGACTGTTACTTGGGGTACTTTTGTAGGCTGCAAATATCTTGCATTTTCTCTTTCATATAGCACACTTTGCTACACAAAGGGAAAAAGAGGGTATCACAAAGGACTGACATTAAGAAAGCAAATCTAAACAGCTCAAGGGTTGCTTCAAGTTTCTCTTCTATTTAAGAAAACAGTAGTGCTATAATTAGCTGCTTTTCTAAAACATTTTAAAGCCCTGCAAGCCCACTATACATGCCACTTATTTTACAGCCCCAGCTGCCCTTTCCAAGTACTGCTCAACGAAGTTGCTGGAGAAAGTTACAGGAAAGCCATAAACCACCCTGACAGGTCAGCCTGGCTCAGGCCCGGCAGGACGAAGGAGCAATAGGAAACTGCCTGCCTTTGCCTCCTTATGCTGCAGCACACAGGATCTCCCCATCAGCAATGTGGAGAGCACGCTCTCAAATTAGCCAGAGGCAACTTTTTCCTTAGATCTCTCTGAAGGATCAAGATTTCATTCAAGGCAAAAGACATCACTGGCAGACAGCACTCCAAAGAGAGCTGCTGTCCCTCTCCCTCATGAGCATCTCTGTTCACAACAGCTTCAGAAACAGCTGGAACAGATGGCTCTGAGCTGCTGTATGCTTTGCAGTGCTTCTCCTTTCTAACCCTCCATCAACAAGTACTGTCCTACCCCTTAGCTTCCACTCGTAACAACAATTTCTACTCTTTCTTCTGTAAAATAATATGGTAAGAAGTTGACTAAGGATGTTGACTTTTGTACATACCAAAATCAACAGGCCTACAAGGTCATCTTCACATTCAAATTTCACTGCTGAACAGGCCATATTGCATCACTCGCTTCTAAATCACAGATTGTCAATACACTAGTGTAATTTGCCCAAATCCAATTGCCTTTTAAACCTTA